CCCTGCTAATTCATGCATGATTTATTCTGTTATGCCAGATGTATTTAATGAATCCCATTTTGTTTGTCATATGAAAAGCATCAAGTGAACGAGATTTATCTATTTTTCTCGAGTCTGAATACCTTTGGATTTACTAATTTCTTTGGGTTATTCTTTTAATTTTTAGGTTTTCTGCCTCTAAAGATGGATGAATATCAAGAGATGGAGAGATTTGGTATGGATAATGATTTTGAAGGCGGTGAATGGATTGGTGGTGAGTTCTACTATCGAAAGCGCAAAGAAAAACGCACTCAAACTAGAGAAGATGTTCTTTATGGGGTGTTTGCAGACTCTGATGATGACGATGATGATTATTCAAGCAGAAAACGGAGAAAAGATCGTGACTTATCTAAGAAGCCTGACCTCAGCAAGCCTGTGAATTTTGTCTCTACTGGAACTTTTATGCCTAATCAAGATGATAACCATTCTAAAGAACAGATTGAAGAAGAAAGTTATGCTAGTGAGGATAGGCCAGGTTTAGGTCTTGGCATGGGGACTTCTAGCACTTCTGGTTCTGGGTTAGGTTTTAATACCAGTCATCGTGAAAATGCTTCTGATGGTGATAATGATGATGATGGTTTTTCTGCCTACAGCGTTTGGAAAGAAGATTCATGAGGGAGCAATGAGAAGGGAGAAGGAAAAGGAGAGAGCAAAATTGGAGAAGAAGAGAGCTCAAGGGAAAACTCAAGCTGAAGATGGATTTTCAGATGTTGGGAAGTTTGAGAAGTATACAAAGGGGATTGGAATGAAGTTGTTGGAGAAAATGGGCTATAAAGGAGGTGGTCTTGGGAAGAATGAACAGGGTATTGTAGCTCCTGTTGAGGCCCATATGAGGGCCAAGAATACAGGCATTGGATTTAATGACTCGAAGGCCACAACTCCTTTGCCAAGTGTGCAAGTTGAGAAGACAGCATTGCCAGGAGTTGCTCAACCTACGACTGTCAGAGCAAAGGAAAGATTATGGTCAAAGAAATCAAGGTCAAAGAAGAAGAAAGATGAGGAAGATTATATTACTGCTGAGGAATTGTTAGCAACCAATCAAGAACAGGGTCTGGAGGTTGTTCAGAAGGTTTTTGATATGAGAGGGCCACAGGTTCGAGTAATTACAAATTTGTCTGATTTGAATGCTGAGGAGAAGGCTAAGGAAAATGATGTTCCAATGCCAGAGCTTCAACATAACGTGGGGTTAATTGTTAGGTTGGCTGAGGTAGATATCCAAGAGATTGATAGAAATTTGAGGGGAGAGAGGGAGACGGCACTTAGCTTGAAAAAAGAAAAAGAGAAGTTAGAAATTGAGGCAGCACACCAAAAAAGCAGTTGGAAGATTTGGAGCAAATAACAAGTGTGCTGGACCGAGTCGGAGAAGAGAACTCAATGGGGACATTGACATTGGATTTGCTTGCCCAGTGCTTTGCTGACTTGCGGAAAAGATACACTCATAGCTACAAGTTGTGTAACTTGTCATGTATTGCTTGCTCATATGCTTTGCCTTTGTTTATTAGAGTATTCCAAGGATGGGATCCTCTTCGAAATCCATCACATGGGTTAGAATTGGTATCACGGTGGAAAACATTGCTTCAAGAAGAAGAGTGCCTTGATATCTGGGATGTAACATCACCTTATACTCAATTGATTTCTGAAGTTGTATTACCAGCTGTTAGGATTTCAGGCATCAATACCTGGCAGGCACGTGATCCTGAGCCAATGTTACGGTTTCTGGAGTCATGGGAAAAGTTGCTTCCTTCTTCAGTTCTCACAGCCATGTTGGACAATATAGTCATGCCAAAATTATCAAGTGCTGTAGATACATGGGAACCACATCGTGAGACAATTCCTATCCATACTTGGGTGCACCCATGGTTACCTTTGTTAGGGCACAAGTTAGAGGGAATGTACCAGATGATACGCTTCAAATTGAGTACTGTTCTTGGTGCTTGGCATCCGAGCGATGGCTCTGCTTATGCTATATTGTCACCTTGGAAGACCGTATTTGATTCAGTGAGTTGGGAACAGCTCATGCTTCGATTTATTGTGCCAAAGTTGCAGCTTGTCTTGCAAGAGTTCCAAGTGAATCCAGCTGATCAGAAACTTGATCAGTTTTATTGGGTGATGAATTGGGCTTCTGCTGTCCCAATTCATCTGATGGTTGATATAATGGAAAAGTTCTTCTTCACCAAGTGGCTTCAGGTTTTGTATCATTGGTTGTGCTCAAACCCTAACTTTGAAGAAGTAACAAAATGGTATTTGGGTTGGAAAGAGCTTATTCCAAAGGAACTTCTGGCTAACGAAAGTATTAGGTATCAGCTAAACCGTGGTCTTGATATGATGAACCAGGCTGTTGAAGGTATGGAGGTGGTCCAGCCTGGCTTGAAAGAAAATATCAGCTATCTTAGGGTACTTGAGCAAAGGCAGTTTGAGGCTCAGCAGAAAGCAGCAGCTAATGCTCAAACCCAAGCTCCTTCAGGCTTGGGGGGTGCTGCCCATATGGAGAGTGCAGCAGGTGTGCATGAGATGAGCTTAAAGGAAGTCATTGAGGCCCATGCCCAGCAACATGGTTTGCTATTCAAGCTGAAACCTGGCAGAATGCATAATGGTCATCAAATATATGGGTTTGGTAATGTCAGCATCATAATAGATTCCCTAAATCAAAAGGTATATGCCCAAACTGAGGATGCATGGTCTTTGGAATCTCTCCAAGGCTTACTGGAGCTGCATAATAAGTCCATTGGTCGGAGACGAGGATTGTAAGGTGACTTCTAAAGGAGTTTGTGTAAAAGTATCCTTAAGTCGTAGTTGGTTCTATCTCAGGAGTCAATTTCGTCAACATTACTTGTTTTAAGAGAGTTTTATAATATTTCTGACACACACAGCTTTCTTTCTTTGTTTTTTTTTGGGGGGGGGGGGGCCTCAAATGGGCACTATGTTTTCTGTAGTATGCTAGCTTTTTGTTGTCCATACCCATTGATAGCAACTTGCCATGTTATTGCAACCTACTGAAATTTTGTAAACTTCCTTATTTTGGCCAATCTACTAACTCCGATGGTGAATCTCCTTTTTATTAGCTGCACTCACGTGTTATTCCTTGAAGCTGCATCAATATCAGAATTCAGAAATCTTGGTTCCATCTACCTATTCACCAGGCTCAATGTTTTTGAAGAATTGTAGAATGAAATGATTCGCGATTTTGATTTAGAACTTGAAATGATGATATCTAGTTCTCCAGCTAATACTTATCTTCTGTACGTGTCCGGTGTTAGGCGTCTAATGTTATTGGAGACCCACGGATATTAAGAGTTACGTTTTTGTTCTATGCTTTGTATAAATGAAGAGTCAGCTTAGTATAAGTGAAGAGTCAAGAACCTTGATTCTCAATGGATAATCTTGAGGTTACAAATTCATGCCATACTGCCGATCATTGACTTTGAAGAGTAAACTTTGAAGCACGGTTTGTATGTTTTGTTGAAGGACTGTTCATCCACAATGGTTTATTCGTAATGCGGGAAGGAGAAGCCTAAAGTGCAGTTCCTGTGTAAAGTATGAGCTTGGTGTACCCTCCTGCATACTCAACATTTTTACTTGTATATCATGAATAAAAAATGGTATAGCATAATTAAGACCAGAGCAGTGTGACATTTATTACAGCCTGTAACATCTGGGGTAGTCTCAATTAGGAAATCCGTTTGAGGTATGCTTGTCCAACTCTGTCCCTTCTGCCCTTAAGTGGGCTTAGTCCTTGACTAACGGTATTTCTAGGTTCTTTTTCTCGTTTTCGTGTATTACTGGTCTGGTTGTTGATTACAAGTGTTTATCGCATTGCTTCTCAATCGAACCCGAGTTGATTATAAGGACTTACTTCGTTCGTCTGGCATGTTGCTTCTAGTTTTTACTAATCTTTTTGCCCCCTTAATGAAAAAGGGCAGAGCATCTGATCTTATTTGTAGTGAAATTATCTCTGAAGTATTATTGTTTTGCCTCCAGTATTTCTAATGCTAATGGATCTCATTCGCTCTCTAAGACAAGTAATTACTTCGTCAGAATTTTTTCCACACATTTAATATTTGTAAATATTGGAAAAAAAATGCATTTTATGATGTCCATGTAATGGGTAAAATGCATTTACAAATTGAAACATATTTAGCTCTCGTAACGCCCTAAGTTAATTATGTTTTTTAAATATCTTGAGATTTTAAATAACGAGGATTATATTCTATTGAGCGTTAGTAAAAAAATGTGCACGGGGTGTGCGTGCGAGAGTTTAAACTAATTAAAAGAAAAATAATACTCCTCCGGTCCTTAATATAAGACTCATTTAACTAATTTGATTAGATTAAGAAAGTTAGGTAAGTTAGTTAATTATAAGAAAAATGATACATTTTTCCTAAAACACCATAATCATCTTTTTTAATACTCTATCTCCCTTTTCTATTTGATTATGGTTGATGGAGTATCCATAGGGTAATTTAGGAAAAATTAATAAATATGAGAAATGAGTCTTATATTTAGGATCAAAACCAACTCAAAAATCGGGTCCTATATTAAGGACCGGAAGAGTATAAATCAGGAGATTAAAATGGGTGAAATTTTGATCCTTGTAATATATATATATATTCAGTATCAAGTCACGTGCGATTTTTTCGCGCACGCTTGAATGAATGAATCACCACTGATGATCTGCATTCGATTTTCTGGGGGGCAAGAGTAGAAGTATAGTGTTGGGGATTAGGAGGAGTGATTTTTAGAAATATTTTTTTGTAAATTGAGATAAATTTTTTTATATATTTATTTTGAAAACCGTAAAATTATTTTTGAAATTTTGGTTTCCACCCGCACTGACTACTTGATTTTTCTAGTATGTTGCAGTCTTGCCTCTTGGAACGCAAAACATTATGACCGAAGGATAGAATCAAAAAAGTCAAAACCTCAAGATTGGATCCAACGGAAACCATTAAGACACGTCAACCATGGACCTGCAGATTGCAGAAACGCTGCGTTTGGAGGGTGCCGATATGCTGTCTTCGATCACCCAACTCCAAATGCTCTGGGCAGCAAATCCCCTTCAACTTCAATCCTTCTTCTCTGCATCTCCTTTGATTCGAAGCTATCGGAGTTCGCTGTGCTCTTGTCGTGCCTCATCTGCTTAGCCATGCATTATCTCCACCTTTTGTGTCCATTTTCAAGGTATGCATTGCCCAAAATTGGTCACTTTCTTCCACCACCTTTGTCTCTCATGCTTCCTCTTTCTATCATTCCCTCAATCCCGAGTTCTTTGCTCATTCCCAAACTTTTAACGCAATGAATATCGGCGACAGCGTTGCTTCGTTCAATCGCTTACTACGTATGCACCCCCCGCCTTCCATCATCCAAATTAACAAGCATTTGGATCAATTGCAAAGGCTAAACACTATCGAACTGCGATCTCATTGTTTGCTCAAGCGGAGTTCAAGGGATTCATACCTGATTTATGTACCCTGAACGTCTTGATCAATTGTTACTGCCATGTGGGTCAGATGAATTATGCTTTCTCAGTATTGGGAAGGATTCTCAAAATGGATATTCGACCAGATGTGATAACAGTTAATACTTTATTAAAAGGACTCTGCATTAGCAACAAGGTTGGGGAAGCGTTAGACTTTTATGATGACTTAACGGCTAAAAGATTTCAATTCAATGAACTTAGTTATGGCACCCTGATCAACGGACTGTGTAAAATAGGGAAAATAAGATCTGCTGTTAAATTGGTCCAAATGATGGAGAAGAAGGGAATTAAATCTAATCTAATCATCTATAGCACTATCATGGATAGCCTTTGCAAATGTGGCCATGTTATTGAGGCGCATCAGTTTTATTCAGCAATGATTGATCAAGGAATTCTGCCGTGTATTATTACATATACATCTCTAATCCGTGGCTATTGCAGCGTGGGACAGTGGAAAGAAGCTACCCAATTGTTTCATGAAATGGAATTGAAAAGCATCAAACCCGATATTCATACATTTAATGCATTCATTGATGCATTTTGTAAAGAAAGGAGGATTGTTGAAGCTCAAACCATGTTTGCTAGGATGATGAAATGTGAGAGACCGGATGTTGTAACTTACGGTTCTTTAATGAATGGATACCGTCTGATGAATAACGTGAATGAGTCAAAGAAAATATTCTCCAAGATGGTTCAAAGCGGTGTAACAGCTGATGCAATTAGTTATAGTATACTGATCAATGGATTTTGTAAGATTAAAATGGTCGATACAGCATTAGATCTCTTTCGAGAAATGCGCTGCAAAAGCTTGGTTCCTGATGTGATAACATATAATTCTCTTATTGATGGCCTTTGCAAGTCAGCGAGAATGTCAGAGGTGCGAGATCTTGTTTATGAGATGTATGAAAGCGGTCATGCCGCAAATACAGTCACCTATAGTATTTTGTTAGATGCATTTTGCAAAAGTCAAAATCTTGGTCAAGGGATTGCACTATTTAGGCAGATGGTTGCCCAGAGAATTCAACCTGATGTATACACATACAATATACTTGTTGATGGCTTGTGTAAAGGAGGCAGACTACATGACGCTCGAAAGATTTTTTCAATACCTTTTGACCAGTGGCTATCATCTAGATGTCTACACATATAACATTATGATCAGTGGGCTTTGCAGCAAAGGCTTGTTTGATGATGCTATGTCCTTGCTTTCAAAAATGGGAGCAAATGGATGTCTCCCTAATTCAGTAACATATAAAACTCTTATTCAAGCTCTTTTGGAGAATAGAGAGAATGATAACGTTGAGAAGCTTCTCCGTGAAATGATTGGTGGTGGTCTTGTAAAATGATAAAATATGGTTGGATGCACTAGTCCTACTATTGATTATAGTTGTGTACTGTAAATGTTTAACTTGGCCTTCAAAGGCTAGCAATTTCCTGTTTCATTCCAATTAAAATTGTTTGATCATACAGTGAAGTAAATGTTCTTGGAGAATTTTGTTCAAGCAATATGTTTTACACATTTATTTTTACCTTATGTTTGGTAGTGAATAATTTGCCTTGAACATGAGTTTGTTCCTCTTTTTATAGTTTATTCTGGTTCTGACTTATAACCTTTCGGGCTTGTTTCTGTTCTTGAATCAGAGTTGCAGCTAAAATATAGTTTTTTTGGATTTATATAATTCCTTGCACTATTTTTTGGACCACATTAAAGGTCCATTTGGCTCTTATACAACCAAGAAAATCGATGTCTGAATTTATTTTGGAGTATAAGACAAATCAAAGGTACATGAGTCTGTGTTACCCTAATGTTAAAGTTGAATTTGCTTGAATGGTTTCCAAGTGTTTGTTTCTTATGGCAAACCGAATGAATATCATTTCTTTTTGTTGTTTTTTGTCCAAGTTCAAAGTCCTTTGGGATGCCTGTTCCAAGAGAAGGTCAGGTTGGCTATGATGAATGTGTGATGCTTGGATCATTGCATCTCCTGGAATTATATGATTTGAAGCATAATAGAAAATAATTTTATTCGCAGGTTTGACTGTTTTTTATTTATTCATTGCATCTAGCTTTAGGCAGAACTGTGTATGACATTCCTCAAAGAACGTTGGTCGTGACAACTATACTTCATAGCAATTTTCTGCAGCAACTAATCAGAGAATTCTACAATATTTTTGGATTCGATAACTTGTGTGAGTTCATGATTGGTACTTTTCAGATGTTGGCATGCAGGTTATCAGTTATTGAACCTCTAGGTGAAAGTCACATTCTCCATCTTGAAAAGGAGAGATTTGGAATCCGATTTACTCTCAAAATTTCATAATCTATTGGACCTTAACAATTTTGGTGTTCGATCAAGAGTGCATTTGGACTTGCCACCATAATTATAAATGCTGCCGTTTCCTCACTAGATGAAGGATCAATTGGGGCTACATTGCTTTTGGACTATATCCAAAGTGGGTGTACTCATCTCAAATTTTCTGGAGCTCAATTGCATCAAAAAAGACCGTATTTCTATCTTTTTCCCATTCATTTGTTTTCCTCAGGTAGCATTACTATCATGAATAATTTTGCCCATCTCACCAATCACAAAGCAGTCCACCAACGCTTCTCTTCAACTTGTTTAGTACCAGGGAGAATCATTTTGAAACAGTGACAACAATGATTCATCAGAACTTTGTTCTTGTCCTTGCTACTAGGAATGAAGGCCAATATCATAAAATTAAAAATGATTTCATGATGATTGTTGTTTTGGCTCTCACAATTGCCCGGGATGATGTTACCGCAGGCATTCAAAACCGAGTCTTTTGGGTTGCTTATACTTTTTCTCTCTTGAATTGATTTGGATCCTCCCATAGAGTAAATACTTGTTTACCTTGTGATTGCCTTTTGTTTACAGAACTGGCTTGTTCAGTTTGGCACCTTAACACTTCCCTGCTCATTGTGCTTTTCTTGTCTGTCGCCTATAAATTGCCATTGGCTGCTGCACTTGAGGACTGTCATGTAGCTACTGCAGTGATTCTTTTTAAAGGGATAATGCTCTCCGTTTGCTACCAGCCACTACGCATGCCTTTGACCTTAAGGGCAAGGTCAATGTCATGGGGAAGGCAATGTTATGATCCAGAAATATATGGACCTAATGAGAAGAAATGGGCCAAAGCTTATTAAATTTGGCTCAAGTAGGTGGAATCCAAATAGGGTTTGGAGATGGGAATACGAAGCAGAAGGGGAGGCAGTGTTGGGGTGGGGGGTGGGGGTTCGAAAATTGTTGTGTGGGTCTTCTCCCTGTGCTTCTGATATCCTCTCTTCTCTCTGAATTTATGCTTCTTCTTCTAATTTCTTTATGGCCGTAATTCTGAATATTGATCTAAGCTCTGTGACTGAATGTTTACTAATATTACCTCCGATCCTTAGTATAAGACCTTGTTTGATTTTATTTTGATCCTAAATATAAGATCCCAATCTACTTTGTTTATCATATTTATTCATTTTTTTTCAAAATAGTCCTTCTTCTAGCTCATACACTTTATTAATAGAGATATTGGGAAAAACAATATCTATTTATTACAAATAACTAATTTAACCTATTTTCTTAATCTACTCAAATTAGTCAGTTAGCTTTTATATTTAGAACTGAAGAGAGTATTTTATATCAGTTCAATTGTTTTGTGCTTATTTTTCTGGTCTAAATCAGTAACCATATACATTGTTGCGGGTAAGATCATTACAGTGTCTCCATGGAGTTTCTCTGGTTCATTCTACTTGAGATAGATCAGTGAAGAGAAGAAATGTTAATTGCTGTTTATACAGGAGGATGGAGAAATTGAGGAGACGTTTCTCATAGAATACAAATTGGCTGGTTAAAGTGGAGGAAAGCTACTGGAGTTATTTGCAATAAGAAGGTACCTGAGAAACTTAAAGGAAAATTTTATCGGATTACTATAAGACCGGCTATGTTGTATGGTAGTGAACGTTAGGCAATAAAGGGAAAACAAGAGCACAAAGTTGGGGTAGCAGAAATGAGGATGTTGAGATGGATGTGTGGTCATACAAGAAAAAATAGGATTCGAAATGAAAATATCAGAGTAAGAGTCGGTGTGGCACCTATCCAAGAGAAAATAGTTGAAAATTGCTTAAGATGGTTTGGACATGTACAGAGAAGGCCATTGGAGGCCTCGGTGAGGAGGGTAGATAAGACAAGATGGAGTCCCATAAAAAGGAACAGAGGAAGGGACAGAGGAAGACCAAGAAGAACGCTTAATGAGATCATTGAATGAGACCTCCTAGTCAACAATAAATCTAAGGACTGGGTTGTTGACAGAGCACGATGGCGTTGTGTGATTCATGTAGCCGACCCCACCTAGTGGGATAAGGCTTGTTGTTGTTGTTGTTTAGATAATGCCTTCCTTGACTCATCTCTGATTCAAGGGTTTTAGTGGATTAAATCATCATCTCGACCAGCACCTCAATTTCATATTGCTTGTTTCGGACTAACATTATTTTGGATTAAAAGCTTTGAGGATTCACAGGAGCTAGCCTTGAAGGCTCGGACGCATTGCATGCAATAAGAGAAAATTCATCTATCCCTCTTCTTTCAGCCCTTCTAGTACAAGTGCCACTTAACTAGATTTATGTTCCCTTAATGTTTCTGCTAGTTTTCGTGTTGTAATTTCTGATCAGTCTGTTAATTTTCCTTGTTCACATTTACTCGCCTTGCCAAGAGCTAGTTGCTTTGCACTGTAATTTCTCTTCGTTTCATTTATAGTGATCTTTTTCTCTTAAGAAAAAGTTGCCTCCACGTAGTTAACAACTCTTGGCATTGGCTGAGGAAGAGAGAAGCAGACGACCATTGCAATTGTGAAGTAATCTAAATGTGACGGATTTGATATTTTGCTACTTGTAACACTTGTGACGGATTTGATATTTTGCTACTTGTAACACTTGTGGATGATACTTTGCTGTAACTTGTGGCATTTCCATTGAAGGAAGCCAAGTTCTTGTTATGGTCTGTGTTGACATTGCAGTCTTGTGATAAGCTTTATTTGGCATTTTGGTTCACACCACCGAATCTGTGCTCATTTCTAATTTCTAATGAAAAATATCTACATTTTTATTTATTTAATTTTTTCAATAGTGCCTTGCGTATTTCAAATGCTCATGAATCTTTTCATCTTGCAGGTACCTAAACTTTCTTTTAATTTTTAATTTGGTACCTATACTTTTTTAACATTTTAAAAAATCCTTAAACTATCTTCTGTTATCTCCGTTAACCCCCACACTTTACAAAACACAACCAAGGGCCACGAAGGAATTAATGCTGTTCAAATCAAATTTCTTCATCAAAACGTACTGAACTTCAGTGACAGAGGAGGTCTTCCATGGATGGAGGGGTTCGATTTGCAATGTGATTTGGAGAGGTGTTGACGGAATCAAAACCTTATACAAATAGATTTTCTTTGACAGATTTGATCTCCGCAGTAGAGGGAGGTTTAAAATCCAACTTCTTCATTGAAACTGAGCTTCAGCGATTGAGAGGTGTTCGACGACTAGGGGGTTCAATTTGCAAAGCGATTCGGAGTTGAGGGCTATAACATAATCATAGCTTTTTGCAAAGGGATATTCTTCGATAGGTTTGATCTTTGCCATAGAGGGAGGATGGGTTCTCTGATCTCACCTCCTGCTAGCTAGGCTGATTGATCGTGCAATTGCTTTTCCTTTTAGCGAGAAAGTGATTTTGATTGGATAGGTGAGATTTGTAATTTGTCTTCTGATACGATTTGGTTCTACGGTCAGTTGATTTTACTTGAAGTTTTTGTATTTTAAGCTTTAGTTTGTCAGCTTGAAACTATAATTCTAGCGGTATGTATATGTATTATATGTGAACAAGGGATTAAAATGCTTACAAAGCTGCTAACCTTTCTTTTAAGAATCATGTTATTCGAAGTGTATGAACTCTTTAAAGTGCTACTCCAAGTTAGTTCCAGCTGTTGCAAGTTTCATTGCTCAATGCAACTTTACTTTTTCTTATCTAAAAGCAA